CCAGAGTGGTGCTCATTTGAAAAGCTGCTAACAACTATGTTGTATCAACAGGCCATCCTGATAATGAGCTGTCAGCAGCTCAACAGCTAAGAAAAAAGGGAACTGACTGAGGAGCCCAAGCGCAGCTGTGCAGCTCTCTAAATGCTGAAGGTCAGAGTCATCCCAAATTGCCTGGTTTCCCTTTGGAAACAGCCACACTGACACTTCTAGGAAATTGATACTAACAGTTGTAGCAAATCAATTTGAGGCCTACTACACATACATTGTGAAGTTAAATTCTATCTTGATATCAAGGACTTGAAGGTTTGCTTCAGTCAAGAATATCTCAGACATGGTACTCTCTGGTAATGAATTAAAAGTGATTTACATTAATTTTACTTAATTTTAAGTTAGTGGAGTGCTTTATACCTAATCTAACAACCCAGCATATCCCTGGGCACCAAACTACTTCCAGAAAGAATGTATTAGTTTATCCATTCTGTAGAATAAATTATTCTAAAATACAGTGACTTAAGCAAAAAACATTTATTTTCTCATTTTCTGTGGATTCAGGGTCTTTCATGAAATGGTAGGTGAATGTTGGCTAAGACTTGTCATGGAAAGTTGTCCTGGGATTGGAGGATCTGCTTCCAAGATGGCACCCTCATGACTTTTGACAGGAAGTTTCTCCTTATCCCTAGGACTTCTCAACGGAGCTACATAGTAGCCTTACAACACAACAGGTAGCTTTTCCCAGAGTGAATGACCCTAGACACTTCAAGGAAGAAGCAATGTCTTTTATTATTGGGTCTTGGGAGTGACACACCATTACCTCCACATTCATTTTCTGGAAGGAGACACTACTGTCCCCATATTCAAAGGGATGGAACAAAATCCCTGAATATAATGAGCAAAATAAAAGATAAGAGGACATATATGTTTTACAAACAGGAAGGGGAGCAAGAGATGAAAGGATGGCTGGCCAAATAGCTCAGCGGATTAAAGCACCTGCTTAGGCAGCTGCAGTGGCTAGATCCCCAGGCATGCAGTATTGGCCCCGTCCCTGGGGTGCGCTGAGATGGTGATTGAGACTGGGCATGGTGGCGTGCACCTGTAATCCCAGCTCTTTGGGAGGCAGAACACTGGTGGATCACCACAAGTCCGATCTACATGGTGAGACCTTGCAGACTCCTATAGATCCTTACTAAAAACTACAAAAAAAAAAAAAAAAGAAAGAAAGAAAGAAAGAAAGAAAGGAAGGAAGGAAGGAAGGAGGGGGAAAGGAAAAGATGGGAAGAGGAATTAAAAAAAAAAAATGAAGATATATGCATATACCAACTCCCCACAAGGAATGCAACCACTGTGTGCTGAAGACCTGTACCAAGAAAAAGTAACAATTTATCAGGGCTCACTGCACCATTATTTTCAAATTAATGCTTTTTTAAATCAGCAAGATTTATCTGCCAAGTATCTAAGCAGGAAGTTAAAATATAAGAATTTCTGGAAGGGTACGTCCACCAATGGTAGCTTTTTTGAAACTACACTTCAAATTAACCACAACAAACTTCTCTCTTGCCCTTACAAATATGTTCAAAACATTGTATCTCAGGCAAGATTATGGAAATTTATGAATGAATAATAATCTCATATAAAATATCTTTATTTCAAGTGTCTAATATTCATTACTTTCCTAGCAAGGAGCCAATTCATAATTACACATTCCTATTCCATTTCTACTTAAAGGCTCTATAATTACTATAAAAACTGTAATACAGGTCTTCAATACTGTCTACAAGGTAGTTGTTTCTACCTAGTGGACAAAAATGGTACTAAAGGATTTGAAATACAAGACTTCACAGGTGTTTCATGAATTACACACTTTGTCACTTCCTAAAATCACATTACATACTTGATATATTTGGGCCTCTTCCATATCCTACAGAAATCCCTCCATAAACAACCTTTGCTTTAAATATATAATTTTCCAACATTGCTACCTCTGGAATTGTCTAGTCTAAGCCAAACAACCCAGAATAGAGCCAAGAATCAGAAAATAATCCAGAAGGTCTCCTAATAGCCAACAGATGTCACAGTGTCCACACACTGAAGCCCTAACAGATGGACTACTGGTAGCAAATACATGGGTGAGTGGCATATGAAGCTCTTGTTCAAGGAATCTATAAAGGTCATGAATTTTTTTCTAAAAGACAGTCCTCCCAGAACCTACTCCTGCTTTTCTACTATATACATGAGTTCTAGAGATTTTATAATCTGAATATTAATCTTACAGTATATCAGAAGGAGTAAGAACTGATTTAACAAAGTTCACTTTTGTTAGTCTGTTAAGAGTAAAAAGTGACAAGTGAGGGAAAGCGTAGAAGAGATTCAAACCAAACCACCTCATTTTGGGGACTAGTCAATC